TCTAAATTGTCCGTAGGTGTGAATGTGAGTGTGCTTGGTTGTCTGTCTCTAAGTGTAGCCCTGTGATAGACTGGTGACCTGTCCAGGGTGTCCCTGCCATCACCCTAAGTCAACTGGGATAGACTCCAGCCCCCCGTGACCCTAATGAGGATTAAGCAGTGTATAGATAATGGATGGATGGAAAAATCCATTTTAGTATCAGCCTTAAAAATCTAGTGTTGTAATTTTAGACTTCAAAGGAATTACAGAATTATATGTTAATGCTGAAAAATTTCAAAACATTATCAAAATTCAAGATTCACTGGTTCCACGACTCAGATCTGAAAAAGCGAAGTTTTTTTCTTTAAAAGATAAAAAAAAATATTCTAATAAAGTTCATCTATTCAACTTTTATTGAATGCATTTTATTTGACATTTAGTCTGACTAACAACCACCCTGATCTGTGTGACATGTGACGTGAATGTCACTATTTCCTGTATTTTTACAGACCAAACACTGAATTGGTTGACTGTGAAATGAATTAATCAATAATAAAATGAATCATTTGCCCCCCCCCACCTCACCTATACTTCAGCAACGCAAAGTTTCACAATCACCAAGAACTGATGTCTACTTAAGTTCAGTCAGCAAAGAGGTCTATGTAGGATTCCTGACGCTGCCCAGCACTTTTACTGATTAGTTTTTTTAACTATCATTACTGACTGCTCTGTGTGTTACTCAAAAGAATAAAAGTCTCATACACTTGGAACTCTTCATAGGAGACACCGCCTGAGCTGCTACCACGGCGACGGGAACTGTGACCGCTGTCCTCATCGTCGTCCTCCTCCGAGTCGTCCTGGGTACGAGGGAAGCTCCGCCCACTGCTGGGTCGAGTCAGCGAATTGCGTTCCAGCTCCAAGTCCTCCTAGCGAATGAGCAGAAACACACTGATCATCTGCAGGTGCTGTGGCCGTGTGTTCACCACCACATATGTACACTGTGCTGTTGTTTCCTAGTATTTCTGACCAGTTACTAACACCAAAGACTTTTGTTTGACACATTAAACAAGCTGTTGGCTTCACCACTCACTCTCTCTTTCTCCAGGTCGTCTCTCATTTGCTGGTGTTCATGTTCTGTCAGCTCCTGATCGCCATCGTGATCGTACTTGGCAAAGATAGCTTGTATCTCTGCATCTGTGTGGCCCTTTCTGAGTAAACAAATAAAACAATCACACTGAGGGCAGGTTGCATACCTTTGATATTCAACAGATCACAAGCACTGAGTCAATATAAGAATAGATAATAGTTTTGTTCACCCTTTTAGATCCTGACGGAGTTCATCAAAGTTCAGTTTTCCCCCGGCTTGACGCAAACTGTCTGAGATGTCGTCGACTGCCGTCTTCTTTAGTCTCAATTTCATCAAAGCTTTGTTACAACCCTGAGGGAAGACAGGTGAAGAAATAATTCAAATTACATTTTAACTTACCTAACCGAGTCACTTGCATAATGTTATGTAATGGGTCGCACAGACAACAGATAGAAACACTGTGACTGTTCAGGAATCTGGCAAAATGGATACCCAAACTTATATTACAGAAGGTAACCTGTAGTACCACCATTTCTTCCTCTTTCTTCAGAAAGGTGTTGAGATGTGCAATGTCGCATTATCCAAATCCAGTTTTTCATTGTTTTTAAACAAAAGTGACAAGAGAGCCACAAGATATAGGAAAAGGCTGTTCTTTTGTGTCTGTCTTAGCTCCATAAATCAGAAACTGTGTCTGTGAATGAGCCATTCAGATTTGCAGCCCGTTGTGTTCGGCTTATCACAGAGAAAGTTGTGTCTACAGCCCTCTTTCTGAAAGTGGGAGACGCAGAAGCAGTTCAGTTTGATTTAAAGGTAACAACAATTAAAACAAAACAACAATTAATCACTGCAAAAATGAACTCGTCAACATGATCTCTGCTTCCACTTTCATCAATATGAAGCTACTCTGTATTACATTTTAATACCAGTCTGGTACCATTATTTCAGTTCTACTAAGACCTTTCCTACATATGTGATTCTAAGCAGATTTAATGGCACCAAAAACTTGTAATATTTGGAGTAGCTCCTGGGAAAATTGCCCTTCCAGGTGTGCACTGTGATGGCTTTTCCGTTCTGTCACTATTGGTAGACCTGATTTAATGGAAATTTGTGTGGCCAAAATAAGTAGCACATGTAGCTTAATACCTTCCTAATGAGGTCAGTCATTTCCATCTCAGACCTCTGCTGGGACATGTCAGCCTTCACCTCAGAGTATGTGTCATTGATGATGGCCAGGAACATGTTCTATACAGAGAAACAGAAAAAAATATTGTTGCTTCAGTCAGGACAGTACACAACACAACTTCTTCAACACATGAATCCCCTACTCACCATGAGAATGAAGAAAATGAAGAAGACAAAGGTTGTGAAGTAGATGGGTCCAAGCACTGGATTTGCCTCCTCAATCTCTGAGAAGTTGAAGTCTCCCAGGATGATACGGAACTGAGTAAATCTACAGCAAAACATTTAAGAAAATTTTTTAAAAACCAATAGGAAATGACATTTGTCAGAAGCACTTTTGAATTTGTAGGCTAAACTTTGAATACTCTTACATGCTGGCCTGGAAAGTGCTGAAATCGTTGACTTGAGTTCCAAACACCAAGTAGGCCAGCTGAGCATACGCCAGGAAGATGATGAAGAACATGATGGCAAAACCCACAAGGTCCTTGGCACAGCGAGACATAGTGCTGGACAGCTGACTCATGGTCTTATTGAAGTTGATGAACTTAAAAAGCTGCGAGAAAGTAAGAAATTACTCAGTGTTGGCATTAGTGGTCTCCACAGAAGCTCTATTCCACTGAGTGTCTGTTAAGGTGGTGTTGACTGTGATTATGAACTGAGTAGAAAAGATTTATACCTTGACCCAGGAAAAAAAGACGATAACTGCAGCCATGTTGTTAAACTGGACCTGCAGATTGGCCAAAGGCTCAAAGCTGGGGTGAGCAGTGTGGTTGTCCAACAGGCCTTTGAGCAGGTTTCCAACCATGGCTGTTCGGGTTATGTTCATGATGATGGCAACAACACTCAACTGAAGAAAAAACAAACAATAACAAAGTTAGCGACTGCCTATTAGAATCCAATTTACTGTAATTTAGCTTCAGTAATCCCAAGTGCAACCTTGATGCTCACCGCGACAATGAGGACATCAAGACAGTTCCACAGGCTCTTGAAGTAATGCAGGCGGTGGATGCGGATCTCCAACACTTCTTCCACAACGTAGTAGAGGATGAACAGGCAGAATGCCACTTCACACACACCCACAAAGTAGTCCCAGCTGGACACATATCGAATCAGACGCACTGTTTGGAACTGCCAAGACGTCACCACCCCACCAGTAGCAGGGAATTCCACCAACAACCTGAAAAAGGCATCAAATTCTGTTTTTATACAATGCTAGTTGCAAGCTGGTGTTGTTATTTTACCGACACAAATGAAAAAAAAGCGTGCAAATCCAGAATCCGGCTAATAACAAGCAAAGAATGTTGAGCATTGTCTGTCTCTGTTTATGATTTTGTACATTTAAACTTCACAATTCTCATTAACAGCATTTTTACAATGGAAAGAAAGATAGATTTTAGTTGTATTTGCAGTAGAGTATTTACTGCTTCTCTATGTTTAAAATTATTGTAAATTGAAAGCATTTAAATTCCAGGTTGTTTGGATTAAAATGTTCAAACAATCAATGTGAACATGTCAATTAGAAAGTTGTTTATTTATTTTGTTAAAACTATTTTCTGGTTGTATGGACTTAATTATGAAAATTTTAATCACAGAATAAATGGAAAAACACCCACTATGTGTTGCAGTTAATCTCAACTGTTTATTTTAAAGCTTTCAACAGCAATTCTTAGCAGCAAACACTGATTTATTTCCCGAAAATGTTAGTATATTCAGATAATCTGTTGGGTAATAATTGGAGATGGTTGTGCCAGTGTTTCTGTGATTTTCTATGCATTTAATTCCTGCAGGGTGCTTTTGCTGACTTCTACTGTACTACAAATGCCTTTGTTCTCCATATAATGCTATCATCATTTCAAGTCAATTATAACATAATGAAATGGTAGTTAGCTGCTGTCCAAGATTACACTGTATACGGGTTTGATGAGGCTGATGATTGTTACCTGGCAATGCAGAAAAGGTTAATGTTCCCATTGTAGACCGAGAAGTCGAGGAAGACCGCTCTAGAGCCTCTGTCCAGCCACAAATGATCTTTGAGAAACTGCAGTTGGATGGCTGACTCCTCTTTGGTACGGGACAAGTCCTGGTAGTATCCTCCACCTCCATATTTTGACACCTGACCCCAGTATCTGCTGCTGTTCATCTTAGTCTCTGTGGTGTACATCCATCTGACAGACATCAAGACAGTAAGACTTAGGATGTAGACATTTGTGAATTGTTTTTCTCAAACTTTGCTGAGAAGTCACAGTCTTCATTCGCACAGGTCACTGTAAAGGTTCCACTGATTCTTTAGACTATTTAAAAGCATTGACTTACGCAGTTCCATTCTTGGGGCCAAAGGAGGTGGTGTCCTCGTTGGTTGGAGTGTATATGTTATAGCAGTCCTGGACCTCGTCCCTCAGATCTTCGTGGACGGAGCAGGACTCATTGCGAACTTTGACCTGCCGGAGCCGCGGCACCCCAAGGAGGAGGTTCTCGTAGTAAATGAGACTCTGATTCTCTGGCAGGCTCTTATTGTTGTACCACACCTCCCAGTACATGCCATTGAGGAAGGGCCCCTCTGTGAACTGAAAGTGTTGAACAATCAGGATTGTGGTAAAGAAGAGGCCACGGAGATGCATGCAAATGTAAGAAACAAGTTGAAAACGAGTTACTGTATCTAGAAATTCAGCCTCTGTTTATCATCCAAAAGAGCGTTTCTTTAAAAGCCCTGGTTTGTTATCAAAGATCAAGGAACAGATTGCTGTTCTGCAGCTCAGCTTCTGATAGTTACATTTTGAGAGATTCCTCACATAATACATTGATCTTGTTTTAGCACTGTAAAGGTTGCTGCATATATTTTTTTCTAAAAGTTACTTTCCATTTTTATTAATTCTGTTACATACTGATTGAATTTTCATGGAAATGGAACTTAAATGGGGCTGCAAGGTGTCTCGGTTGTTAGCAACATCGCCTCGCAGCTAGAAGATCCCCGGTTCGTGTCCTGGTTAGGATCTGGGATCTTTCTGCGAGGAGTTTGCATGTTCTCCTTGTGCAGCGTGGGTTCTCTCCGGGTGTCCGGCTTCCTCCCACAAGGTCCAAAAACATGTTGAGGTTTATTGGTGATTCTAAATCGTCCGTAGGTGTGAATGTGAGTGTTCTTGGTTGTCTGCCTCTAAGCATAGCCCTGTGATAGACTGGTGACCTGTCCAGGATTAAGGATTAAGCAGTGTCTGGATAAGGGATCGATGGAACTTAAATGCTATATTTGATATATTAAATTATATATTTGACATTTGATGATTTCCTAGATTCACAAACATTTGCCTTGATGAAGTGCTAATGACAAAATAATTTTTGAATAAAGGAAGAATTCAATACTTTATCACAACTAGTTAGAATGAGAACAGTATAGTTCTGCCTGAAGGTAGCATCTGACTACCAGCACCTGTAAAACGGAACCAATTCGACAGGCTTTGTTACCAATGCGTGCAACCAGGCTCGTTGTTCCTGTGATTCCAGTCTTTGCGCGATGCAAGCCTTTTATTTACCAGTTATTAGAAAAGCCTCTCATGCAACTTGCAGCAAGAAAGCAAATAAATTCAATAAAAGTTGACTATTTCTTTAAATGCTTAAAGTCTGCTGAACCTCCCTGTATCAAGATGAAACACACTGACAAAATGTACAGTTTCAGTAAAAAGACATTGGACACCGCCCAACAAATGACTTATATAATAACTATAACTCCAACAAACCAGAGATAAATGTTAAATTTTACCTTCCAGAAATCCTCCATGGTTGACAGGCTCCTAAAAGTAGCAGGATCCCCAGCAGACAGCGGCGTGTCCAGGAAAAGCTGAGACATGACTTTGGTATAATAGTACATATTGGCGCTTACCATCCCATAGGTCACTGCAGAGCAAATCACAGTATAATATAACTATTACAGAACATATGGCTGCAACAACACAACAGCTACAAGATGCAGAATTACACTGAATGAATGCTTTTAACACACATAAAGGTGCTGTGTACATCCCCTGTGACCCTGCAACAACCACATGAACACAAAATCTGAACTCAAAATTAGATTAAAATGTATTTTACATACATATACATACATACTATGCATTACTATTCTCACTAGCGTTCTCAGTAGTTCTGGAAACTGCTTTTAATAGTCAAGTTCTGCCTGGCAAAATGTGCCTTCATCATGCCTGCCAGGAAATCATTTCCTGATCCACCCTAAACCACACTTTGGCATTTTTCGTTGCAGCAAAAAGAGAGAAGAGAAACTTTACCATTAGTTTCTCCATCCCACACATTTTCATTCTAGCTGCCATCCCAAAATGCAGTCCTTAAATTTGTGCTGTTGTTGGTATTTAAGACCTCTGACAAATGTTGGAGATTAGATTTTCAGCTGCCAAACTCATTAAGTTGACACTGTGAGTGTGGAAAGTAAGTTTTCGGCTATAGGAAAGGTGCCACATTTTTAAAAGCTTTCTGTGAGTCACTTGGATCAGCTGTCAGTTCAGTCCAGTCCAAGACTAATTTTCAGGGCACAAGCATTTACTTTATGTTTCCTCTACAATCTAAGTCTATGTTTACACCACACGTTGTCATGTCCAACTGAGAATGTTTAGTCTGTAACTTGTGTAGTTTGTTTGTGTAATATTAATTGTAATAGCATATTTTGGTACTACAGGAGAAATCTATGTGCTTTACTGTTTCTAACTAAAAGCAAATGATATAATGAGTGCTCAGCAGACAACAACCAATCTATGATATTCCTGCAAATTGAACTTAACAAAGAGAACTAAGGATTTAATTCAGTCCTGCTGCACCACCATCCAGAATTACATAGATTTATTTAGACTTTACATATCAACAGCACAGTCACAATTCAGACTGATATATTCATACTAGCTTTTTTTGCAGTGTAAAGACACTATATGGTGAAAAAAATATTAGATTAGAATTACAGATAGCATCAAACTGTGACACAGTTTCAGCCTGTAAGATAGGCAGTGTAGCAGCAGGGCCTTGTTGTAGCACATCATGATGCTCGAGTTATTTACATGACCTGCAGGTAATCCAGTGATTGTCACGATAAACTCATGAAGTTTACTCCTCAATGATGAAGTTGGCAACTCAACCTATTGCAAAATGCGTTGATTCGGAAGAGAATACCACATCTGAACCTCGGGAGACTTCTGAAGGTTTACTTACAGATGCAAATGGTGATGAGGAATGCGATATACGTGAGCATCTCCCTCAGTACGTTCCTGAGGTACCTTTCTCGACTGCTATCACAGTCCTCCATCAGCTCTGTGCCCCACAGGACTGTGAATGAAACAATTCAACATACAGTATGTGCAGTACACAGAGAGAACGAAAAGCACAATTATTAAAAATGTACACTGTGTTCCGCTTATATTCGACTATGGAGCTTAAAACAATTGAACACTTGAGGTTCCTGGATACATAAAAATGACACCCCAGAGAGTATTTGTGTTAGGAAGAGATTGAAAAGCTTTTTTTTTAACATCTCACAACACACATTTATCAGAAAACATACATAGTTGTTAGTTTAGTTCCTATTTCTTGATTTTCATTTGAAATACTGTGTATTGCCTCGAATCTGTTTGCTTGTTTTACTCTGCTCCAAATATAACCTTTTGTTACTTTTTCATGTGATGTTTCTTTATGTTTGATTACATCAGCATTGATTTTAAGTTCTCTGTAACCATGATATTAAAAAAGTGCTCAACAGATAACGATTACATTAGTGGTAGTAGTAATGTTGGTATTTGTGTTGAACTCCAGCAAGTGTCTTCTTAAGGTGTATATATAACAATAAAGTGACACTTGTATTCAATATCAAAGTAATATGCACGCTTAATTCTGTATTTTAAGGGATAGTGGGGGGAAAATAACAGGTTTAATCCTAAATATAATCACATTTAGAAATAATGAGTCATTGTTGATGATTGTTACTAATCTGCAGATAATGATGAAACCCTTTTATCTAAGACGTTATCATAAAAACTGCATTTAGCGGCGCTTACTTCTGATTTTTTGGAGTATCTGCTTCATACAGCTGAGGTGCTCATGCCTGTCCTGCTGCTGGGCATCCAGGGTGGGGGTCGGGTACAGTCCTCCTCGGGGGATGTGGGTGCTGCTGCCCCCGCGATTGTAGCTGCCCAGGCCGCTGCTGCAGCTGCTGCTGGAGGCCGTGGACACCGACCTCCTCCCGGGACTTGCTTGAGGCCAGTCGGCTTCCATAATTTCGTCCTCGGGCTCAAACCCCGGGTTATCCCGGCTCCACGCTTGTCTGGACGGAGGGGACGGGGTGCCTACGACCCCTCCGAGACCCAGGTCTTGATGCTGGATGTTCTCCATCTCTATGCCCTCGCTGGAGTCCAGTCTGTTGGGTGACCTGCCAGTCTGGCTCAGCGGAAGCTGCTGGGGTCTGACTCTGGATGAACTCATGGTCCAGCTCGGTACTTTTTCTAAGTGGTGCGGGACATCTGATAAAGTTGAACTTTACCCCAAAAAACAACAAAACCCCTCTAAAAATAAATGTTTATAACGACTGAAGCATGTTGAGCCTTCAGAGACACAAACCGTTACACGCCTAAAAGCCAAAGCAGACTCTCAAAGTTACACAAACAACCAACTAAAGGCCCATAAAACGTAACACACAGCGTGTAAAAGTCACAATATGGATATTTGTGTAACGTCGTCCAGCTCCTCATAACCAGCTGCAGCAGCGTTCAGCCTCGACAACCCGTCAAAGAAAGTTTCCTCCAAAAAAACGCAAACCGAGATTAGATTCAGTCTCAAAAACGACGTCTTTTGTTACAAAGCGATGCCTTTAAAGTGGTTAAAGTTGTTCGCTACTGACCTATGTACGTTAAACTGCGCACCGCACTAAAAAGCCGTGTTTACGTGAAAAAATGAAGATAGTTTTCTTGTCCCGGGACAGCCATCTTGTTCCTGAACTGTTGTCCCAAAAACTCTCTTTCTCATTTGTTCGGGACTCAGGTTACATTAGAAGTCATGGCGTCGCAGCAAAGGCTGAAAAATACCTCGGTGGAAAAACACTTGTCTTTATTCACTTAACAGTTTCATCCATTTTAACGTCTTATAAAGCTTTTTCATGAAATTAACTGTTTGCATTTACAGTGTGTACATCTTGGACATATTTGGGATTTTTTATTTATTTATTTTTTGCTGACTTGTAAAGATAAAAATTCAGCTCCACTAAAATGTATTATAATTATATTTGAACGCTGTTTCGAAGCTTTTTAAACCATTTCTAGCTGTTAATATTATGTTTGTTAAAATGTGATACAGTAATTAGCTGAAAATAGAATTACGTAACATCTGAATGTTTGGGTCTGTGGTTGCTATGACAACGAGACACTCAGCTAGCAGGAGATGTCACTTGAACATTTACCAAACATGTAAAATCATGTAAACGCCAAAGGAACTATGGAAAAGTATCTTAAATAATGTTAGAATAGGGTTTGTTTAATGGACATGGACTTATTATGGCCAGTTTGGCTCTTTACAATCACATTTTTGCTGCAAAAAACTGAGTGGAAACAACCTTAAAATGTCAAACAGATGTCTGAAAAAACCACCTTAATGTCCAGTTTTTCACTTACGTCACACTTTTAACCATCCATTTTATTTTTCAGATACATGGTATAATATATTGTAGTTCAGATATACACAGATAATTCTATATAAAATTGGTGCTCGTGATATAGTGATACAGAAAGATGCATCAGTGTTGTATGTCCTGCATTACAACATAAGGAAGTTGTTGTATAAAAGAGTAAAGAGGGACAATCTGAATTCCAAACTGTTAATATTGTATATTGGTTTTTCTGTGTTGATAGTCATCAGTGACAAAAAAAAAACATGATCCTACTCAAGTTTCTGTTATGGTTTCCAAATTTATGATTTGTATTAATATTTTATGTTTTAGTCAAAGTGGAAGACACAAAGCTTTTTTGACCACATGGTGGTGCTTAATATCCAGATTTTCTAAAGACTAGTGCACCTAAAACAATGACGAAAAATCATCAGGAACCATTCCACCTACTTGTTATTGCATGTACATTTTCATGAAAGTACAATAAATGTTTGACACATCTATTAATGTATACTTAACAAGTCAACTGGTCAGCAGCAGGTAGTCTATTGCTCCACAACTGACTCGCTCTGATCTCCTCCTGGCTGTAACTGAAATATTGGTACAGGGCCTGGTAAAGCTCCATGAGATTTATCTATATTCAAAATGACCTTTTTTGTTATCTTATCAAAGGGAAATACTGTGCAGAAACAAATGAACAGGCAACTTGGTCCAAAAAAGAAGGTAACTTTGAGAAATAGCTGTTTGATTTGACTAATTTCGATAGATAAAGCCTCATATTAGCTTCAGACAATCCTCTGTAGTAATTTTTAGTCAGAACAAGGCATATGGCATCAGCATGCATCGCATATATTGAAAGCACATAAGGAATCTCTACGCCCTGTTGCGTTTCTTGGTAGCCACAGTAGAGATTGAGATGTCCTGACTTTAAGTGTTGAGTATGAGTCAAGCTTTCAAAACACTGAAACCTGAAATTATCATGATGCAACTTAGCAGAACAATTCTCCCTTACTTTGTAAATAAAGACACCTCTAATTTATTTTAGGTATTCTATGTTGTTTTTGTTTATTTGTTTGTTTTAAAGCTCAGATACAAGCCAAGAAAACAGAGATTGCATTATAAAACAGTTTGCATGGGATGGACAGACCTTCTCATGGCAAGTTATATTCATGTATACAATCAGTGGAGTACACCTTTCAAGTTTGACTTAGGAGATGTGTGCCAGAAGTACTATGGTGTATGTTTTTTTCCCCATGAATGTTGGGATAAATATGCAAATATATGCAAACTTTATGAATAAAAAATAGGAAGCTACGTGCATGTATTAACATGAAAACTGTTGCATAATGGGACTGGATACAAAACTGAGCCAAAAAGACATTGAAGCGTACTAAAGTGTTAATGCAAGACATAATGAGTATGATTATCCTTCTAACATGTGTGATGCTTTTTGGGATAACGTTAGCAGAAAGTTTGTGTGGGCGTGGCTATTGGCCGACGTCATCTCCATGTTGCCCAGTGTAATGAGCTCATTGGCTGGCTGTGTGTGACGGGGGCTCCTGCCCCAGACTGCAGGGGTAAAACAATAAATCGAAGCTATCACTTTAAATCTTCAATCTCTGGTACAGCAGAGATCATAAACTGTTTGTTGGTGGAGCGTGGGAAATATTACAATATCTCATCTTGGATACCCCGTGTTTCCGAACAGTTTACAGACGGTTATTCGTAGTAATTTATTACAAATAATTCTGTCTACATAGATAGGTCTTTCATAAGGTAAGTTAGCCATCCTTCAAGCTAACTCAGCTAAGAGACAAGCTAACCGTATCAGCTAGCTGAACGTTAGCCGCATTGTCTAGTCCAAACCACGACCTCTCGATTACAGCCAGTAATCACTCAAAGTTGCCAACTAGGTGTGTTGCTACTATACAGATAACCCACTTTAGCTATCTGCTCAAAAAATCTGTGAAAAAATCTGATTTATCAAATCTGGGTTTCTTTGTTGTCTTTTAGCTAGCATAGCACTCAACTTCATTGATAATGGTTCGACAGTCAGTGAAAGTTGGGATATTTTAAAGTTTGAAAAGGCTCTATGTTGCTTGCAGCTTTTACAGTTGGTTGTTAAAAAACCAAAAAAGCAGTTGATAATGTCAATGTTGGATGCTCCCTATGACAAAGTGGACACACTGCTGGTGCACTACAATGGCTATCACCGGGTCCAACGTCATGTCGGCTTGATGGTTTTCCCCGCTTGCAATCATCCTGCAAGTTGTTTGTGTGAAAGTTCAGCAAAGTAGCGTCTTGTCAGTCGTCAGTTTTTCAGCGCTCGCGCACAATACCTCCGTCTTCGTTGAAATATAATGCATCCACTTCCTGGAAAACTGGCTGCAGGTGAATAAAAAACGACGACGCCATAAGTTAGCTAGCGCTTGTGTTAGCCAGCTAACTAGCAGTGTCGCAAGCTTGCAGTTGCTTCTCTGTTTGCTGGGCTAGCGTTAGCCATTTAAGGTGACAGCGATGAGGCCGGCAGATTGACATTAATATTCATTCAGTTGTTTTTACGGTCTAGATTACGTTGCTGACTGCACAGACACACGGTCCTGCTGAAACTTCTGAAATTGGCGCATACAGTGCAATATCAATGTGTCACGTCATATCGCCTGTGAACATGCGACAAACGTTGGAGATGGCAAAATGTTGTTAGCACAGACATGAAAGGCCTCGGAGAACAGGCCATTTATCTACAAAGGGCTACTTAGGTGTATGTAACTCGTGTATAGTTTTAAGAGCAGACTATACCACAGCATAATTGTTGTGAAGTTCGTTTTCTCCGCTACCTAAATTAAACCCCAGCGTCTTCCCTTTTACCTACAGCCGGTTTCCCTCTTTGTCTCATTGGATGAACGTGATGGCGCAGTTGAATGTTGGCTAGTGTGTTAGCCAGCTAGCTAAACAGTCAGCTGTCTTGCTTTTGGCGTAGATTTAATGTTGGTCGTGTGAAACATGGGCCTAATGAGGTAAAGTTCTGTAAAAGGAAAGGAAATCTTACGGTGCTTGCTGTTGCAGCACATCTATGTTGATCACCCCCAGGCACATTAAACCTACATGTGTACGGTTGTGGACTTCCTTAAAATGGCCTGACCTCAAACATTCATGATGCGGTCTGACTGACTGACTCTAGGTTTCATTTTAAAGCCTAAGCTGTCAATTTATTAGGTGTGCCTCGCTAAAACTAGTAAATACAACAGCCCTGCAGCAAATTCAATGCAAGTTACAATGTTTGTGTAAACTGTATTGCAGAGGTGTTCCTTGAACTTTGTGGCCATTTTTGAGGTTGTAATTAATATGTGGTGGTCCTTAATTGTATTTAGTTATATAAAGTTGCACAATATTAAAACAAGATATTATAAACGCATCATTTCCACAAACTACAGCCTCCAAAATGACCTTTGTCAATCATCTCTCTAATTTTTAAAAATGTATTTCAGGGTTGTTGTATTGGATTGCTTGAGTGGGTGTATATGTGCATGTTATTACATATTATAGACTGCAGTATAACAATTAAACTCTGGTCTTTTCTATGTTTCAGCACTTAATATTGTTTACCAAAGAAATGGTGATGGAGAAGCCAAGTCCCCTGCTTGTAGGGCGGGAGTTTGTGAGGCAGTATTACACACTCTTAAACAAGGCACCAGATTTCCTGCACAGGTAACTACAGAAATGTGTTGTGATAATATGCTAGATATGAAATCTGTTAGTGTTGGTAATGTCTTTTAATTGTCATGTTGTTTGTACCATTAGGTTTTACGGGAGGAATTCTTCCTATGTACATGGAGGACTTGACCCAAGTGGGAAGCTGGCAGAAGCAGTGTATGGGCAAGCGGTAGGTACTATAACTTTACAAATACTGTAAAGTAGGCGTGTGATACTAGAGTTTTCATAGTATTAATAATATGTTTGTTCTTTTAATGAGATTGAAGACATAGTACAAAATAGATTACTGGCAATGCATAAATGTAGGAAGAAACAATGTTGACACAGTAGTCACATCACACAAAACTTTTACCATTGTTGTCCAAGATTTTGCTTAATTTCTGTTGATTTTCCTTTTTTTCTTCAAAACTACATGATTAAAAACTGATGTTTTCAAAAGAAAAAATGCATTTTAACCTTGTTTAAGAATCTTTAAATATATGGCAATCTTTTTTTTATTTATTTATTGACAAGAGTGTCCATTTAAAGTCTTATTTGTAACATAACAACAAAAGTTGGCTGAAAGGATGGCTGGGCACTGAGTACCCTCAGTGATTATAGTCATAGTTGACTAAATGTCAAAAAAATATTTCAGAAAATCAGGAAACAGCTTTTAGGTTATGTTTGTTGATCTATATTTATATAAATATTTTTGATCCATTTGTTTCCTTTTTCTCTTTTTTTGTCTCTGCATCTCAGGAAATCCACAAGAAGGTCATGTCTCTGCAGTTCAGTGAATGCCACACAAAGATCAGGCATGTGGATGCCCACGCCACACTGAGTGATGGAGTGGTGGTGCAAGTCCTTGGAGAACTGTCAAACAATGGACAACCCATGAGGAAGTTTATGCAAACTTTTGTGCTTGCTCCAGAGGTGAGTACGCTACCTTTCAGTACTGCTCACAGGCATCAAGGTTGAGTGACAACAGCAATAACATATAAGTATTTCCTGAGATTTATGGCGTAATTATTAGCTGTCAATATAAATTCTGGACATTTGATTGACTCAACAGAGCTTTCAACAAGAGACAAGCTGCTACAATTTACATAGTGGGGAGTGTAGGCACTTCGAGCCAATCAAATGTCCCTGAGCAATCAGGCCACAAGTGTGCTTTTTTTGTTCCACAGTAAGGTAAATTCACTACTAAAGAAGCTCTGAATGACATAGCACATAGCATTTACTGTAGCTTCTTCGGAAAACATTTAATGTGAAGCAGCAACACTATGATGGAAGGCTGTAGTGAAAACATGTCATCTCGATTTGATTTGGTACAGCATAGCTTAATATGACCAACCTGGGCTAATGGAAAAACCCTAAATGAAATTACTCTCTAAAAGTAAAAGACGATACATTGAAAATGCACCAGTGCACCAATCTCGAACTCTGAAGAAGTGTGTGACTTGTTTTCTGCTTGCATGACAAATGTTCTTAGGGTTCTGTGGCAAACAAGTTCTACGTCCACAATGACATCTTCCGTTATGAGGACGAAGTTTTTGGAGACTCTGAAGCTGAGCTTGATGAGGGTAAGTAGTTCACAATTGCCCTATATTGACCTTGTTTTTCATTAGTGAGATAATAGTCCACACTGTTCTGGTTTAGTGCTGGAGTGCTCATTTATTTGCTTTCTCTCTTTTAGAATCTGAGGAGGAAGTTGAAGAGGAGCCAGAAGAGAGACAGCCGTCCCCTGAGCCACTTCAAGAAAGCCCCAACAGCACCACCTATTATGACCCTCACCCTGTCACGTAAGCAACAGTTCTTAATAAGCCTGAGCAGCTCAACGTGGCATGACTACTTTAGCCCGTTCATTTTAATTTATCAATGGAAGTGACACCTTTCTGATTTTTTTTGCTCTGCAGCAACGGAGTGGAGGAGCCCATGGAGGAGCCAGCTCCAGAACCAGAGCCGGAACCGGAACCAGAGCCCAAAGTAGAGGAGATCAAGCCTGAAGTAGATGAGAAGGTTCTGGAAGAAATGGAGGAAAAAGCACCATCACCTGTTCCTGTGGAGTCTCCACCAAACACCCAGGAACCTCCCAAGGTGAGACTGTTGTGTCTTTACTCGTCAGCAATTTCAATGAGTTAACCTACAAGGAACTACGCCAGGCTGAGCTCTCTGAATCTAAAGTGCAGCAATGGCTCTCTTAATATGTGACGTTTGTTTGATTTCTGCTATGCTACATATGTAAATAACTTTATCTTACAGTCTGCAATAAACTGAACACATCAATGTTTTTTGTCAAACTGTTTTTCATAGACAGTGGGGAGGAAGTTTTCATTTAATTCAACAAAAAATGTGTATATGTAATGGCAGTAACATACCTAGTTCAGTTGTACACCTATGGATATCACTGAATGGCAGCTGAGTATTAGTGCAGCCATAATGATGCATTGCTACATTCCTAACAGACTTTCTCCTGGGCCTTGGTGACCAGTAAAAACCTGCCTCCTACTGGCACAGTCACCTCCTCTGGAATGTCCCCCCATGTTGTTAAAGCTCCAAGCTCACAGGTAAATCAATACATAATATAATAAAAGCTGAGATTTTTTTTCCCTGAACTTTAGCAATGGGCAGCTATTCATGAGTCTACCACGATGTTTATATCAAACAGCCATCATTATATAAATTAGATAGTGCTGGAGGACATCAATAGATTTTGAAGTTCGTGTTTGAAAAGAGTCTCTTTCTGAACATGGTGCTGATTTATTCAGTGCCCCTTTCTAATGTGCAATGTTTCTGCTTTTCAGTCAGCACAGTCCCAAGAGCCCTAAGAAAATACATTAAAGTGTACGAGGCAGGAGTTTTTTTTGAAGTGAGATTCTGATATTGACAGTGTCAGAACCATGGCTGTTGTATCTCATGAACCGAAGAATTCCTCAGACTTCTGAATTTTTACAGATGACTGTGCAGCAGTTTATTCTGGCTATGGGTACATGAACAGACTTTGCTGTAAATGCAGATTTCAGCTGTAGATAATTTTATATTTTCACATCACTGTTGATCTTGATGTAATGAATTTTCTGGAAAGTAATTTGCAAAATTACTACTTAATGTAACGGAAAAAATCAAGACATTATGAAGATTATAATTTTTTTGTAGTAATATTTAGTGCAGAAAGAAATGAAGGAAAAAAATAATTTGAGCAACACATCAACTCAAAGAATAACTTACAAATGACAAATGAAGTCACTGGGAAAGTTGTCTTTTTAAAAAAGAACTATTTTATCAAACCCTGGAGCTACTGCTTGAATGCAAATGCAAAATTCATTACACAGATGCTTTATAATAAAATAAGAATTGTCCCAACGAGATCAAAATGAGTAAAAAGTGAAATGAAGGAGAGAAGTGAAGCTTAATGTGCAGCTCAGAAGGACTGACTAGCTAACCTTCATGGGAAGTTGTGATGTCATCCATTTACACTTTCCCATCTGACATCCCTCCATGTAGCCCAGAGTGGAGCCCAAGCCGGAGACACAGACAGCACCTCTTCGTCCCAGAGACCAGCGCACTCGCGACAGACCGACCTTCACTCCACGGGGTCCCAGACCTGGTAATGCTGACACTAATCCTCCCAAGATCAAGAGTTCTTTACTTTTCCATTTGGTTTATTCTAACTATCTGTGTGTCTGTGCTACTGTTAGATGGTGTTGCGTCTTCTGAGTCACAAACAGGAAAACCACATTTGAGTTTTGTTAACAAAGGTAAATGACTATTTAAATCATATCTCATTCTTTGATTTCTTATGAGAATATTGTTCAGCTGTTGTTTGATATAAATGATGTTGTGGTGATCTGATGTGATTGTTTTTCCGCCTGTTGTTTTGACCTGCAGGTGGCCGGGGAGAAGCCGAATCTGGTGACATGGACGGCAGGCGGAACCCCCGTTATCCAGACAGCCACCAGCTTTTTGTTGGAAACCTCCCACATGACATTGATGAGAGCGAACTCAAAGAGTTCTTCATGAGTATGTTGTTTCATAGAAAGCAACGTTTTGCCAGTACATTTTCAATTACGAGTAAGAGCTGAATGTTTTTGTTCTTTCTCCTTGCAGCATATGGAACTGTGGTGGAACTGCGGATCAACACCAAGGGCGTTGGTGGGAAGCTGCCCAACTTTGGATTTGTGGTGTTTGACGACTCTGATCCTGTGCAAAGAATCCTGGGAGCCAAGGTAGAAGGGGCATGTATCGATATTTCATTACCCACTTTCATTCATTTGGTGGTGGTTTGGTGACGCGCTTTTGTACAGTTAATTTGACACTGGGTTTCACTTCTCTGCTCAGTTTGAATAAACAAGAGATGTGGAATGCCTAAGGCTGTAATCTTCTATAATACATACGTCTGCATCTTTTGTCTTGTCAATAATAAAGCTTGCATTAATAAAGCTTGTCGAGCTTCCAAAGAGAGTGTCTACGAAGAGGAAAACAAGATGATTTTCTACAGCACATTGGGTCATGCTGCTCTGAGGCAGGAAATTACAAGCTGCAATATTTCAGTAAACTTTTATTTGATCTGCAAGGCATTGTGCTGAGGCAGACGCTGAGCAAGGATCAGCTGTAATGGGAAAAACTCAGCATTTTTTTCTTAACCCTTGATGGACACTAGGTTGAGTTAACACCCTGGATTACAGATAATGCTGTTTGCATTGCTAAAACACTGCTTTTCTCCAACAAATATCCCAGCTCGACAACTGACACTCTTGTAATCAGTAGAAAAACTATCAACCAAATCTAAGCTTGGCTTCCCTAGAAAAATTGGAGACATAATTTGAATAATGGACATTAACACATTGACACCTGTCCAGTTGAACAACAGTCACACATTAAAACAATGCAAGGTGCTGCTTTGGTGGAAGCTGTTGCTCCATGAGACAAGGAGTTAAGAGTTCAACTTTAGTGCTCAAATCCCGTACATTTGGATGGGTGTTGCAATAAATGAACATGAAATAAATAAATGGGTAAAGCCATTGCAACACCAGGGTGGCTTTGGCTGCATTTTTTCACACAGAGCTACTGTCAGTCTGAATGCAGCCTTAGAGATTAAATTCTATGACTGGCAGGAACACAGAACTCGTCAGGCCAGACCAGAGTGACGCAGAGGAACAAACCCATGTGTGCAAACCAGTGAATGATGTGGGTGGTGAAATGGACAGCTAAATATTAAATCCATCTTTGCGTGGAGTGACCGTGTTTTCTCCCTGCAGCCCATCATGTTTCGAGGCGATGTGCGTCTGAATGTGGAGGAGAAGAAGACGAGGGCAGTGCGTGAACGAGAGACCCGCGGTGGAGATGAACGTCGGGACATGAGGCGCAACGATCGGGGTCCTGGAGGTTCACGAGGCATCGTGGGAAGTGGAATGATGCGTGAACGTGACGGGAGGGGACCACCGCCTCGAGGTGGCATGGCCCCCAAACCTGGCATGGGCTCCGGAAGAGGCTCTGGTGGCCAGGGAGAGGGTCGCTTCACAACCCAGCGCCGCTGAGAAGAGCACCACCTGCAGTGTGGAAGTAGTATCGTGTTCTTCATCTTCAACCGTTCTCGTTAACGAAAAGAAATCTTCATGTATAAAAGTATATATTTGTTTTTTTTGGTTCATTTTTTATTTTTTGTTCCCTCTTTGCTTTGGAATGTGACACAGCCTGTCAACCATTTGTTTGTGAACTAGACAAAACAAAATAAGCAAACAAAAAAAATTTCGCTTATTAGTTGTGAGCTGAGCATCCTTTTCGGGTATCTCAAGAATTCACAGACTTTAATTTGTAAATTCGTGAAAAAAGGCAAACCAACCAGGAGTAATCTGCCACATTAGGAGGGACTGATGAGACTTTTAACTACAATAATACAGCCCATCATTTGGAAAAGAGATTATATGCCTTGACTTAACTGGGGCGCTGCTTCACGAAATCCCTCTATTGCACATTTTATATGGTAGTTTTCTGCCCTTTACTGTTGGAAAAGAGTGAGATGCAAAATTTGTGCAGTTCCAGGGGAAAAGCTTGCCTTTTACTTTTTTCCTTTTGAGAGACCACTGCTTCAAAATTGCATAATGCACTCATCAATATGCACTAATGGGTACTTTTTGTCATGTTACATTGACATCCATGCTCGGAACGCAGCTGGAGAGACCTGTTTTGTCTCAAAGCGATACGACTTACCGGGGCAGGCCTCACTCACAGCCTGTCTGCTGTGACCAATGTACTTTTCACACTTTTGACCCAAAACTACGCTTCAATTACTGCTGGATGGACAAGATGACAAGCAAATCTACATTATATTTTTCCTCATTTGTAAATCAAATAAAAAAAAAAAAAAAGCTCAAATCCTGGACTTTCACCAAATGAGTGGGGGAACAAAGGATAAACAAGAAACAAGGTTGAACAATAGAAGAGTGGTAATGATGGGGGCTCGCTCTGTTTTTCTTTTGATTCCAAGTTTGTTTATTGTTTTTGTTTTTCTATTTTTTTCCTTTTTTTTTTTTTCTTCCCCTGCCAGCTAGACTGCGAAATTGGGACGGGCGACACCTCCCTCCCTCTTCCCTCCCTTCCTGTCTTAAGTGCGGAGTAACCGAATAAATGTACAGCAAAAATCATAGTTTACTGTATGTTTTGCTTTTCTGTGTATATTTTCATTTCTCTCTCGACTTGATAAAAGCATGATGGTGCCTTCTATTTCACCTTTTCCAGTCTTACTAAAGCGTAAAGCGGTTCGAGGCTCGCTGCCTCCTAGTAAACTGAGCTGCTCATTTTGAACTCTTGTCTGCTGGGAGCAGATTAAAAAGAAAATACTTGCAGTATTCATAAAAATTTACGTTTTTTCAGGTGCATATTTCATTTTTTTTCCATACTGTTTTACTACCTAAGATGATCTGCTGTGAGTTTTGTACATTTGTGTTGTAATTGTGTCTGTTCTGGGTTTTGTAGAGACAATAGGTGCCTCGAGTTCTGTTTGTTGTTAAATGGTTAAAGAGGTGCATCTGAAGAACTTCTCCCAAAAAAAAAAAAAAAAAAAGGTACATTAAAGATGGTGACAGTGAACTGCTTGGTCTTTGGTTTAACGAGTTCTAGCTCTACACGACCATGGTTTCTGAGGTTTGGAAAGTGAAAAATGTCTCACAATATGGTTCGGACACTGTTGATCCTTTTCGGTCTGACCATAGTTTTTTGTGACTCATGGCAGCACTCGGGTTAATCCCTGGACTCACAAGTTGTCAGACTGTTCTTTTCTCAGCTACAATTTTGTAATGATCTGTGTGGGTGGGCTGGCTATAGCTCCAGCCTGCAGACAAGCAAATAATTGTGCTCACTTTTCTAGCGTTAATGCATTTGTATTTTCATATGCTGATTATTCACTGTGCTTATTTTATTCAGTTATTTTTTTTTCCATTCAAGGCAAGTCTAATCTGAATGCCATACCAGTCGGCTCCTTCTTGTCCACTAGCATCTTTTGTGTTTTTTTTACCACTCGGTAGGGAGGGAAGACCTTTGGTTTCAGCTGGAAAGGAAAACACGACAAATGAGATGTTATCTTTTGTTATTATTGTTTTTGTTATCTTGCACTGAACTGGGAAGTGAAATGATGATGTAGCATTTTTCTTGACAAATATACTAATGAGGTCTTCCTTGTCTGGTGGTATTGCACTATTTCCAACATTTCTGGGACAATCTGTCAGTTTGAACACAGCCTCTCCAAATTTCTCATCTGGCAGTGAACAAGAAAAGCGAGAGAGAAAAAAAAAATCTTGTTATCAGCACTCTCACAGTTAAAACAAGATGTGATGTACAGATACGACATATTTAAGGTAGATTTCCACAGTAAAAGCTTGGCTGCTCGCCCTCGTGGTAGAGATTAAATATCTTTTAGATGTGAGAGTAGTTTTTGAACTTACCATCAGGTAATATTAAAGAAAAATTCCAACTCTTTGGTCCTCCAGTGTTGAACACTTCTCACGGGTGCCTCAACCCTCCCCCACCCACCCCCCACCAAATGTTTATTTGTCAGGTAATTGCTTTACATGAGCACTTGACTGCAATCGTGCTTTTTTACAGCAATGGTCGATAAGGAGAGTGGTGAAGAAGAGCCATCATGCTTTCAGACCAATCTCCTGCTTTTTACATGTTAGTGGAGGAAAAAAAATGTTCGAACATAGAAATTTATGGTTGGATAATTCATGTGTTTCACTGAGGTTTTCAACGACTCATCCCTTTCCAAACTTCCAAGGATCCTCAAATGAAGATAAGAAAAAAAAAAAAGAAGAAGCTGTAAATCTGTTGTCCTGTGGTTAAAAAAATGCAGTTAGTGGATCCTCATTGTGAATCATTCCAGTCCTTTCCAAATGGAAATAGAAGTACCTTCTTGGCTCTAGCAGGTGTGGTAAACAGTTGGCTGCCATCTTAATTTTACTGTGTTTACCCTTTACTTGTTGCTAGTACAAAACTGTTGCAGGTGGAGAATCTTTTTTTTTTTTTTTTTGTATTTAGATCTTTTTGTTATTTTTTTCCTTTTCATTTTTGAATGTGTTGGACTTAACATACAATAAACTACTGATAACAGCACCGCTCAAACCATTTGTCATGTTTACAAGGAGCTCCCTGTGACCTTTTGTAAATGTTGGTACACATCGATGAGAACGTTTGATTGGCGACTGGCTTTTGGAGAGATTTTTGGTGTGAAATGTGATTTCAAATATTTTGACGAGTTTTGTTTGTAGCTTGATTTTTTATTTTTTTTATTCTGCAAAACCAAAACACATTCCAGCATCCAAAAAGTTTTTTTTTTTTTTTAAAGCACAGAATTGACTTATCTTTCAACAATTGCCTTAAAAGTTGTTCAAAACTCTACAGGTTTGATGTACAAAGGTCTTGAATGTCTTCTCTCTCCTGCTGTGGATGGTTTTCTGTATGCCGGCTGTGGAGAGACATTTGTAAACTATGTGAAACTGGTTTGACAGTTAGCTGCAGAGGCTTAAAGATGAAGTGAAGTTCAGTTAATTGTTTTTTAAGTACATCATTCACACATCAGTTCTGTCGTTTTGGAGTCCATCTCGTGTTAGGTGATTAATTTTAGAATCAGAAATCGTAGTTATGCCTGCCAAGTACTGAAATATATGACATGAATGTCAATAAAACCATGTGCTTACGAAATAATTGTAGGTTTTATTGTCCTTAACAGCTCTTTCTCTTTGTTTGACCTTGACAAAACCTACTTTTAATTTGAATGCTGCAGAAATAGATCTACTGTTCTCACTAACAAGCATCAGTGTAAAAGCTGAATCCAGTACTTCATCCAGAGCTGATAGCGGCACGTGTTCAGTTATCAGTCTTCCTCAGACGATGTTTCACTTGACGTAGAATCAACTCTTTGACTTCCAGTTGGGTTTGCTTTGCTTGGAGGAAGCTTGTGCACTGGTTGGTGACGTCGTTTCAGAAGATCCAAGAACCACCGCGGAGGTGGGAAGAATCCAGATCCACCAAAAGGTGAGTGAAAAGGGACCTGATTGGGGGGAGGAAGGTAGAAAACATTAGGAGGAAGAGGAGGAGGAGGTTTTGGATCCGGAGCAGGAGGTGGAGCCGTCTGACATGGGTCCTGTCTTGGTTTATTGACGGAGATTGGAGGTTGAGTGGTTGGCTCATCAGTGACAGGAAACACCTGACATGGAGTTTTCTCATTTCCTGGTTGAGCAGCTCCAGCTACTTTCATGAAGAACCCTGTGAAAATAAACAACGTAAATATGATTCACTCAACAGAAGCTTTTAAACGTTGCTGCTGAGAAATTCAAACATTGTGTCTCACCATTTTTTAACGCCTTTTGTTCATGCCTGGCGACGTCAACAGGGAAAGACCCTTGAAGAACATAACAAACTCAGTTACTACATGCAAACTTCTTCTTTATACACGACTGCTAGATGCAGGTTTGGAGCTGATTTAAGGAACAGTAAGGTCGTGAACTGACATCCACCAGCTCCTGCTGAGAAGACACTTATAAGAAAAACTGTTCACTTACATTGTCTGTAGCTTTTATCTCTCAACACCAAACTCTGAGTGCAGTTTTAAAACATGCAAACACTTTATTTTAACAGATTTAAACTATAAAGAACAATAAAATCATTGAAATGAAAAAATGCGTAGAAACCCTCCTCCAGCAAAACAGAGAATTCTATTCCTGGAAATATAATCTCCATAAACAACAATTTGAGAATCCAGCATTTCTGAAATCCTGGCTGCTCTTTGTGCGAAGAAAACTTAAATTAGAAAAGTACCAGAGGCCCTTAAACCTCAGCAGTCTGGTTTAGGAGTCTCTGACTTTTAAAATGTTGCATCAGTCACTCTCTTTGCTACCAGGAGGAGCTACCAGAATAAAAGATGTGCTGTAATTATATCATGGAACTTTGCAATTGTATTTTTCATCTGATCACTGAATAAAGAAGTTTTACAAATATGTCAAAATCCAAATCCCTCTTCACAAACAATGAACTAACCTGAAACAACATCTGGCCTTTTCTCTTCTTCTCTTTTTTCACAGCTAACAGTAAAGATAAACTAAGATCTGTAGGTTGGATTTTTCATACAAAAACTCTCGACACACTTCCTCCCAACTCTTTAGGAAACAGCAACGAAAGACACAACCTCGTTCAATGTCTACATTCCTGTTTTCTGTCCCACAGTGATAAAACCGTCCCCGTCGTCTCTTAGAAAACAGTTTTTCAGTATTCCTGAATGATGGCTGCAGATTTACTCACCTGTGTCGCGTGTTTGTGAGCACAGAAGAAAAAACAACGCTGCTGCAGATATCAGCTCCATAGCGGATAGAAAATGTTTCCTGGAGACCCTTTGAGAAGCTTTTTAAGACATGGGGAGCAACTCTGTCACACCTTATTTGTTTTCCTTCATCATTTGTGTTATGACTCAGGTGTTGATGATGTAACCGGTGTTTGGAATTATTTATATTATCATAGTGGATTGCTTCACTAGTTTCCGACATCACTTTATCAAATTGCTTTAATTACTGAGTGTACGTCACACAGTTTGTGGTATTTTTCTTGGAAGAGTTTGTTGTGTGGAGGAACAAGGTTCATAGAGAAACCTTCTGCTGAGGGTTGGAGGAAGATTGTTCCCATGTTTTGTGCAAATCAAGCCCACTGAGGCAGACAAAAGAGGGGGGGTACATACTAAAGAACACAAAGAGTAACTATGGTGAGGCCAGACTTTAGAGCGCAGCAGATGGTAGACGGGGTCGGGGCACTGAGGACACTGAGGTCAGGTAATCTGTGGTGGTTTTTTGGAGGGAGAAAACCTTCTCCATCCTATGAAAGGGGACTTTATTTCTCACAGTGTTACAAGGAAACTTTCATGTTTGTTGATAAAAAATAAATAAAGCTAAAGCTTCATTAAGATGTCTTAATACATTTCCTGTTATGATATCATGTAGTATAATTTGGTAGAAATTGCAAAAGCAAGTTGTGTAGACATTTTTAAGCAATTGTTGATTTCCAGTGTCATTTTCCTTGAGTTGAAATGTGAAAACAGTTCAGCCCAAATTGTCCATAGCCATGTCAAATGTGATTTATAATGATTGCTGACGTGGCATTATTAGCAGAAAATGTGAAAATAAAAACATAGAAAGAGTTAAAAGGGAACATTAACATCTCGAAGATGATTTCTTGCCATTGTTTGGCACTTGTCTGTGTCATTTACAGCCAGACAAAGACCTTGAATTACCATAAATCAGAAACTGTATTGGATCTGAATATTTCTGGCCTTAACCCTTTACGGGGCAAGTGACCATAGTTGGTACCTTCCGTGGACGTTCAGTACGTCCACCCTGAGCCTCTTCATGAGGCTGAAGAACCATGTGCACTTTGATTTAGTTTTTATATTAGTGCCAATATCACTACCTTACCAAAATGTCACTAAACAGATGTTCCAGGAACTTTATAAACACTTTGTTACTGGTTTACATTGAACTCCACTTTGATTGATTTTTTTGAGATTAGTGCCACTAACACCACCACCCCAAGAAAAATGTTACTAAATGAACTTGCCAAGTGCTTTATAAATATTTTCTTACTGGTTGTATAAGTGTCATTACCTCAAACTAAAATGTTTCTAAATAAATGTTTTTTGCAGTTTGTTACTTTTCTTTTATTTATTATAAATTCCATTTCTTTAACCGTAGACGGACAACTTACCATACATGGTAACTTCATTAATCTTGATTTGCAACATTTTTTTTTAAGTCACAAAAGTAAAAACATCTTGAAATATCCTTCAATAACACCCTAGGGCTGAAATTTTCATTTTCCAAGTATTTCAAGGAGTGCCCTATGGAGGGTTAAGTGTGCCTTAATATGAAAAATTCACTTGTTTGAATGATTTTTTTTTTTGGTGTCTGGAGCAGCAGATAGCTAGATTACATTTTTAAAAAGCCTCTTTGGCTGATTGTGTAAAAATTGATTTGTGCTGATCTAATCAATTGTAACGTTGTTGGGATAGATGCATGCAGGATGTTAGCTGACCAGAGGGCCTTCTCCGTCTCTCTGTGTATGACTGTCTCTTCTGTGGGAATGCTGTCTTTCAAGGTTTGCATGAGGAAGTGGATGTTGCTTCTTATGGATGCACGTTCTTGCAATTTATCTCTATTATCACCCTGTTTTTCCTGATTGTAATACAGCTGTGTTGGTCTCTACAGGACTTCTACTGCACGTCTGTTCATCCTGGAAGAGAGAGATCCCTCCTCAGTTGCTCTGACTGACCTTTTTTTCCCCCCAATTTTTTACACACGAAGGAGGAGGTTTTTTTTCTTTCTTATCCTTAATCAGATTATCACTCAGCCAACCTGGAGCCACATAATATTGCAGAGACACACTGTCCACAGAAAGGAGGCAAAGCAGACATTGATAAAAGCCACTAAAAGGTTAATGTGATGACCTGCAGGTGAAATGGAGTAGATCTGTTTTTACACATTGTTGACCAATTGTGCATGTATATTTACGAAAATAAACATATTTTTAAGGTATATTTCCCTTTCCACCAGTGTATTCTTAACCTAGCTATGTTTTATAATGTAATAGGTGCTGAGTGGCAAGTTTCTGCACCCATGAGATGGTGGAAGAAGGCCCAAAGACACAGAGGAACCAATCAGCTAGATGCAACACATTCTGTGCACATCCTCATGTAATAGTATAAAGTACACTGGATCAGGGAGAAGCAGTCAGTCAGACTTCATGCCCTGACATTAACCTCTGAAGACCCGAGCACTTGTTTGATATGCATTTTTTATTCTCTTTGCTATTTGATCAGATCAAATAGCAAAGAGAATAAAAAAGAAAAAGAAAATCAAAATATATTTTTTAAAAAGCTATAAAAATATTTTTTAGAAATTAAAAAATGTAAAATATATAGATAAATAAAAAATAATAAAATCCTAATGATAAAATATTAAAATACAATTAAAAAATTAAAAATGAACTACTGTGGTAACATAACCCAAAATGGGATGTCCACGCATGTTGACGCCAGGTCTTGTCGGAGCTGGATCCCAATCTACCAGAAATCAAACTATGTG